TCAGAGCAATCTTTATCTTTACTTTCTTTTTTTGATGTGGCACCATTTGTCAAAAAATCAAATATTTGTCACATTTTTTAAAAATATTTTTTGCTGTTACACATCTTTTCATATTCATTGATACACTAACCAAAATCTGGCTTTCTTTATTTTTATTTTTATTTTTATTTCTGTCTGAAATTATAAGTTGTTTTGATTTTATTGGTGCCCTAAGATAAATATAACTATTTAAACGATTTCTTTTTTAAGGCTATCATGGTATTCAATGATTTTCTTATCTTTCATTTGAGCTCAGTTCAACTTGTTTCCCCCTCTTTTTTTTATATTATAATATTTTTTATTTTCATATAATTCATGAGAATAGAGATTATTCATAGAAGTACTTGAAAATAGAACGTGCTTCAGACCAGTGATACATAAACAAATAATAAATATTAATTTTAAATTTTAAATAATTAAATTTAAATTATAGTGGGATCGGGGTAGCTCAGTGGCTTAGGCACTGACTTCCAGAGCTCTTCGAGACTTCCAGATCGAGTTCGAATCAACTGGTGGCGATAAATTATTTATTCTATCACATCAGCCTTGGATCGACGCTGGGGTGAGGGGACTCTCCTGGGGTATTTTTATTGTTAATTAGGGGTGTTTATTAAATGGTTCTGAACAAATTTTATATTAAGGAAGACATATCTCAGGGTGCATATTTTTTCGATATGGCCTGTAGGTGTAATAACAATACTTCGAAATCTTTTCCCCTAAGCGATCATCGTTTTGGCAAGGTGTAACTCTTTTTAGTGAAATTTTCTTTTCCTGAAATCATAAACCGCCGAGTCGGTTCTAGGAAGAAAAAAAAGAATAAAAAGTTTGAAGTCCCTCCCAGGTTGTAAAGGGTAGCTATTAAATCTCTCAGGGTCCAAGTAACTTATGGAGGCTATTTGAATCCTTTCTTATTCTCATCGATATCTCCTTCTTTTATTCTTCCTATTATATTATACATATTTTTTATTTTATTTATATATCTGATTTATAATACGTATTTATTTATTGCAATATAGGCCAATTATGGAAAAAGCATACACATTTCTAGATTGTTTTTTACATATTCTTCTATTTTTTCCTCAAATCTTCCTACTTTCGTCTGTCTATTTTTTACCTTCTTCCTTCATCTACTCTGCTGCAAGAACCTTTATGTTTTCACTTTTCTTCAGTCACATCACTTTATCGAATATCATCTTCTTTATTCCGATGCATTCTCTTCATATGCCCGAAGAATTTTAGTCTCCTTTTCGTCATCGATGTTTCTAAGGTTTCAATATTTTCGTAAAGCTCACTGTTCTTTTTTAATAGGTATTCTTCTCCCAACTGCCTTGTTTCGTATATTATTCTTTCCATGTTGGTAAAATCCTATTCTCCGTCCCGTAGAGTATTAACAATTTCATGTTTCGTAGTATCAAATGTTGGCTTTCCTTGTGAGATTCTTTTTATTATATATATAAAGTTGGTCATCTACGAAAAACTGCGTACCTAAAATTAGTTCCTTTGACTGATAAAGCTATTCACAACTCGTTATCCAAGCACGAACACCAGTGATAAAAATGTTAATCTCCGTAGCGTGAGTGTTACCTCTATTCCATAAAACATAATTAAAGTAAGTTTTTAAATTAACATAATTAAATTAAATTAAGAATCCATGCGACGGGTATAACATCTATAATTGTAAATCCGTTTTTGATGAAATTTTAAGGAATTCAAAATCAACCTTTTACTATTCTTTATGCGTAGAAAAATATATTACTTTAGACACGCCTTTATTCCAAAGTGGTTACATACTATTCCGACCGAATTTGAAGAGAAGTGTGGGAATTAATGAAATTAAATAATCAAGTAGATATCAATTTTATCAAATTCATTCCCTATTTTTACTTATGGTTGCACGTATGTGTTTTACTTGCTACACTTAAAAAAATGCGCGTTTAGAATTAGTGTAGAAACAGAGTAAAATAGTCAATTTTACAATTTTTATGCATTTGTTAAGAATATTAGTATTAAGAATACTTGCTTTAAAACAAGTTTGGAAGTGATCAAATGGAAATGGAAGTTATGTAATTTTTAAAACTTCATATACCCTTGTTATCAGAATATTCCATTCATATTTATAGTAAAAATTATAGTATTTGTATTTTTTTATCTTAGAAGTTTTCATTATAATTAAACAAAGAAGGGAATAGAATACCCCACAGATAATTGACATCAAATAGCAGTGGCGCTAATGATGTTGAAGAGTACATTTTCAGAAACAAAATAATTAAAATAAACAATTAAAACAATGAATTTGTTTTTTACTCATTTAATCAATGGGCTGAGGAAACATTGTTGACCTAACCATTCAGAGTTTTTTTTTTTTAAATTTATATCACCACTGGTACAACATTTAGTAACTATTATTACAGTAAAACCTCGATTAGCAATTTTAGTACATAAGTATCTAAATAAAAAAACATTTATTTATTTGATTGTATTTTAGGTGCCATATGCAACTTTATAGGTTATAGGAACTTTATTGATTATTGAATTACATTTCAATATGTCTTATGTATGTAAACTTTTATGTGTTGTTAGGATGTTTAAAGAACGTGTTGTTACAACTGTATCGGTTATTTCTAATTTACGTTGTGAGTTCGTGTATGAAGATGGTATTGTTTAAATATGTCTCTAGTAATTGTGTTTTTTCAGATATTGAAGTAAGTGTTTCGGATTTACAGGTTGTAGGGCTTGTCGATATCCTAGCAGGCGATACGAAGTCCTTGATGAATCCAAGCTCGGACATTTTTCCGAAATGTGTACCAATGTCAAAGCTGTATTGCAGCCGCGACATCTTGATGGCGAACATCTTGTTCGAGCAGATGCCCATGCGTGAGGCTGGTGTGCCCTATTCTGAGGCATGTGATGATGGTCTGCTCCCGTCGGTTTCCTTGCATCTGTGGAAGTGGATTCATGGCATTAAAAATAATATTCATTTTGTTTGTACCAGGAACCTTTGCCTAAAAATATGGCCAGGCCTCTCTACACTGGTTCAAAACTCAGTTATTGAAATCGTAGAGCGGTATGTTAGTGTCTGGTGCTGGAAGGATGATGGATACTTCTTTTACTGCTCGATCAGCCAGTTCATTGCCTGGTATTCCAATATGACTGGGGTCCCACAGAAATTTATTTGTGTGATTTGGAAGACAATGGGGTTGTTACATAATTTAAAGTTTTCTATTAGCTTGAGGGCTGAGAAGGAATCACTAAGAATTAAAATACGGTTACTATCAGTTTCATTGAGTATTTAACCTAACGCTAAACAGATAGCAATGAACTCGGAGGATAGGACTGAATAAATAGAGGGTAGAGAGTAGCGGATGGTCTCCGTAGGTAGACAATTAAATTAAGTCTTACAATCAAAAAAACATTTTAAAAGTTGAAAAATAACTATACAAAGTACATCAATTAAAAAAAAAATTAATAACATGCTTATCATATTTTACTTACATAAAAAAAAACGTAAATTTGAAGGTGCGTTTAGACATTTCACAAACTATGAAAAACACAAATATTTAAACGGTTGTTTCCCTATGTACAACAAGAGAAATAAACAACAAGTTATATAATTGTGTTTCCCATAGTTTGTGAAATGTATAAATGCATCTAGAGATGCAATGCAATCCAAGTGATAAAGAACATATTTGATTGACATTTAACTTTTTAAATAATAAAAAATGTTTATATCAAGAAGCTATTAACTTACAATAACAGTGCATTTGAGAGCTTAGGTGAGGACTGGTGGTGTGTTCTTAGTCTACCATAGCGAGACTGTTTGGCTGTTAAACACAATATTTTCAAACCTCTCTCACCTCTAAAATATTTGAATCCGCGTCACAGACCATTTTTTTTTTTATTATTATTATTTTTTTTTTTATCAAGTTATTGAAATTCTCCTAAAAGTTCGTGGATTTTAAATTACAGGTAAAATTTGTCATTAAAAATTCATTAAACGGACAAACATTTTCTGTTTCAACATTTAAAATGAACATCCATTTTCTTTTCACTTGAATAGTATCATAATTCGTCCACAAAATCGAGAAAAAGGATGACCTGCAAAAATATTGGGCCGTTTAGGATAACCAATTTTCATAACATCCCAACATGTGAAATACGAAAATACAAGTTAGTACTCTGTACTGAGTTTGAGGATTTTTCTCGGAAATATTTCAATACTTTTTTCTAGGTAGCAATTCCCGCGAGACTTGGGTGGAGATCTCAATGGGACCTGCGGGACAAAAACTTTGGAAACCCCTGATCTAGAAGGATAGGAAACCCTTCAATGACATTTAGTTCCCTTTTGAAAACTTCTCTGTCCGTCTAGAGATCTTCTTAAGCTAACTTATGATCTTAATTTCATTTGAATTGTAGAAAGACTTAAGAAATATCTATAACCTGATTTAGATAGTGCTGTCTTCAAGGCACCCATCTTATAGATAAAATATCATATTTTTATGACATTTCAACGGGCAGAAGACATACCTAGAAAATTAGCCCTGTGATGATTTTTTATAGCTTACCAACCAACCAAAACAAACAAAATTGTCTTTATAAAATTTAAATTATTCAATTCAATGACGTTCAATGGCCATTAGGTGCTATTTCGGCTTTGTTTCCGTATCGAATGGTTTGCTTATGTAACCTAACATTTTCATAATTTAGTATAATCCACTACATATCCATAAGATTTATCGAAGGTTCAAGAGTTAAAAAAAAAACGAAAAGTTCCTAGAAATATACAGTATCGATAACATAAAGTCAAACATTTCTTTTTTATCAATTCATTGTACTGAGAAGATCCAATAGCTCATGATTCACTCTTTTTCTAAATAATTTCTCAGATACAAACAGATAGTAATGCTTACTTTTGAATTTACTTTCTTTGTTCTCGTATTATATCAGTTTTACTTTCTCCACAGGAGCTTTGCTTCGCGGAAGGCGCTATCTACCAGGTCTCCGAAGACATGAAAGAACCTAGGGCTTTGGGGGAAGTCGGTCCGGTGGAAACACCGTGCAACCAACCATATCCTCAATACAGTATTCGGCCAGAAAGGATGGGAAAGTCCTCAAGAAGAACAGGTGAGTCAGCATTATTGGATTATTTATTTTATTGTTTTTCTTATGTGTAACATAATAAATATTAAAACAAAAACGTATTCCTTAAACTTTTATATTTTTTTGATCTTTATTAACAAAAGATCATTAATTTCTTAGACTCGTGGCTGGTAAGAGAGTAAGATAGGAACTTTATCGTGATAACCCAATCGGTATAATAATTTGCGATTTTTAATATTGTTTTCAACTTTAAGTTAATTGTTTATCATTACGTTATGATTCACATTTATTGGCCATAAAACTCTCCCTGGAGTAGTAGTGGCCGTGTGTGTTGATTTTCTCGGGTCAGAAACTGTACCGGTTTGAACTTTTCTAATTGGAATAGTTTGATGTATGCCTTAAGTACATAAGGACTTTGTAGGAAAATAAACAAATAATACCTGATTCAATAGCAATTATAATGATATACGGAATTTATTAGGATAAACTGTTTAAGTTATGCAAATCGATAGTTATATTAACTATTTATGTTTTTTTTAATAATTTGATAAAAATCTCACATATTTCTAAAATTAGAACAAAATCAAAGAAACATTTCATACATCCTGCTCTTGCTTCCATGGTGCTTCAAATTAATATTTTATTCAGGATCATAAAATATTTGCCCAATGTCGGTTTTCAAAGGCAATTCCTCGAAAAATCTCTCTCTATTGAACCGCTTAGAATGAAGCGGAATTAGGGGTTTAATATTTGCAGAGCATTCATTGGTTTAGATATTTAACAGATGACTCAGAAGCAGACATCTACTATTTATCTAATTATTGTCTAAAGAGTTGTCGTCACACCACGCTTCGCTTCATGACTGGGACTTCACAAAAGTGAATACCGGGAAATGCCGTTCTAAAACTCATTCAAACAATTCTCGAGAAGACTGCCTTTTTGGAAACTTTCCAACCCTCGTTTGTGAATGGAACACTCAACACTTTTCCAACTCTAAGAATATTAAAGCTCCTTCCAATGAATGATAGTAACTGTAGTTTCGTAACTAACGAAATTGAAACTAGCTAATTTCAGAACTATTTCAACCAGATGTCGACGTTAAGTGCCAACAAGTTTTGTTAGTTTTCTTTTAAATTATTTATTTGGAAATTTAATAATCTGTCACGTGTACAATAATTATAGTGAGATGTGAACACATTCACACCATACATAAAGAAAACATAAAATCAACAAAAGTAAAATAATAATAAAAACTATGTAACCTAAAGATAAGTAAATTAAAAACATAAAACCACAGTTATACGTATATGCAATATATACAATCAGACAGGGAAAGTCAAATAGGCCAAAAGATGCAATATTTTTGTTGGTCACCTTTTTTTTTTTTTTTTATAGATTTGTGATCAAATTATCTTATGATTCAAGTGGAAAGCAAGTGGATATTAATGAGATTTTAGTACCTTATTAAATAGATATAATTTGCCGGTCTCCAGATAGAAAATGTCTCAATTCCAAGAGTTTGCTGAAATAAAATAGTTGTAGGTTACGATGAGATGAAGCTATTTCAGGCGGATGTTAATAATTTGATGAAAAGGAGTCTGTACCGTGGTCTAATACTTTTATTACTTTTATTTAAAACTTCTGTTAAAGTAATTATTTTTATTATTAAGTAAACCTAAAATATGATAATTATGCAGAATATTGTTATTTACTTAAACGATAAAACGTATTTAAAAGTATTTTTACTTTGTCTAGAGTATGCAATAAAAGAAAAGACACAGATAGATTAGAACTAAAGTTGATGAGAATCATGAAAAGGTATGTTTTGGAATAGAAAAATACCTCAGATAAACAGTTTACCAATTCAACTGCTATAAAATCTCTGTAAAATTTTTAAAATTCTGTTATAGGCTTAAATAGGCTAATGATGTTTTTTCTGGACTCTAAAACGTAAAAAAAATCCGTTGAAAACCGCACATCAGAAATTAGATTCGATGGCTATACTTCCTCATGTAGTAGTGGTAGGAAAGTAAAAACAAATAATGAGAATTCGGCCATTAAATGGATTGGTGATAAATAGAGTAGAAAATTTGCGTCACTATGAAGAGGGTATATTATGCAATGAAATAAAATGTAACAAGTTATTTAATGGAGGTTTTAATATTTTTAATTTAATTAAACACAAATAATTTTGTAATAATTAAGGAAAATATGTAATAGAGAGGAGAGAGTTTACCCATACCTTATTTGCTGGAAATTTAATGGAAATAGGTCAAGATGAACTAAATAATAAATACATTTAACGAAAGAAAAACCATAAATAAATTTTAATTATTAATTATAAAATATACATAAACTTAGAAAAGATAAATAAGGTAATTTTGTTATAAATGGAAAAATCCAAACAACAAATCCAATCAGTCTCCAGAGTCTCCAATCATACAGATAAATAGTTAACTTGCCAACATTCGTTAATTCAGGTATCATCAGGGGAGAAAAACCAAGATCACTTGTATGGAGAAAGAAAAAACAAAATAGAAAATTAAGGAAAAAAATGATCGAAGCTGTAGACATCTCACGAAACATATCTGGGTGTACCCTTTTCTTCTTCTGGAAAATTCGCGAGAGCCGTGGAGCATTTCTTACATGGACCAAAGTGATAGCAATCCTAAGAAATGGAAAAAGTGACTCTTGGGAGACAGAAACCAGCCTCTTTGACTCGATGGTCTCGTCAACACTGCTCTATGCTGCAGAGATCTGGGGGACAAGATACCTGGAGGTTTTGGAGAGGACGCAAGTTCGATTTATCAAGGCATTGCTCCATTGCCCAAGAAATACACCGAACTATGTGGCTTGCCTTGAAAGTGGGAGATTTCCATTAAGCGTTGAAGTGTTGAAAAATGTGATCAACTATTTGACAAAGCTAAGCTTAATGAGTGACGAAAGACTACCTAGACAATGCTTTAATATGGTTAGAGCTCTAGACTCATCCATTGGAAAACCTGATCCAACTTATAACTGGGTTACCCAAGTAAAGATGATTGTGGATGAACTGGGATGTCAGGGGACTGTTTTCTTGTGTTTTCTCCCAAGGTCTGATGAGGTTCAAAGATGAAATCATGGAAAAAATAAGAAACCATCACGCATCCAAGAACATCGACAGAGTGTTAAACTCTAAATCAAACCCAAGATATAGAAAAATCTGCTCCTTTAATGTTACCAGACCAGAGGATTATCTTCAGTTCAAGGCTGTGAATTTAAACAAATTAAGAGCCGTTAGTCGTCTCAGAGTAACAAATAAAGATTTTATGAAAATATACTTAAAAGATGCTACTTTGACTATTAAATCTAGGGAGGTATGTGGTGCATGCAACTGCCTTGTAACTGGCCCGGTAACTCATTTTCTGATCCAATGTATCAAGTTCAACGAACCAAGAAATAATTACTTGAAGACATTTATTACTGAATCCAGAGAAGATGCTGGCGTGGAGAAGATACTGAAAATAGACACTATGAAAAAAATAAACCAACTGTATTATTTCATACAGGGCTGTTCATTGAACTGTTAAGTGATATCGTTAATCATATAACACATATTAATACTTATTTATATAGTAATTTGTCTTATACCTCTGGAATATTTAAAAAAAAAAATGTATTATTGAAAAAAAAAATGTTTTAGTAATTGTTATGTATGTATGTATATATATATCGTTTACTAATATGTTATTATATTAGTCATACTTAGTGCTGTGAACATTGTTCATGTTATATTTGAACTCGCTACTAGACTCAAGATCTAACATTGTTAATTATACCATTATATTTATTTGTACAGGAATTTCCTTAGACAAATAAAATAAACTATACTATACTATACATCTCACGAAGCAATCTAAATACATAATGAAAGAAAGAGAGGGTTCGATTAGCGCAAATAAGGAAGCTTTTCTTCCTTGTATTCCTGCTTTTCAGCTCTTAATAGAATCTTTTCTCTGCTTCATTATGTATTTGTATGGCTTCATGAGATGTCTACAGCAACAATAAGTTTTTTTCTTTTTTTCCTTTTTGGTTTTTTTCTTTCTGCATACAAGTGATCTTGTTTTTTCTGATGATGCCTAAATTGGCAAAACGCTGGCAAGTTAACTATTCACATTTATGTTTGGAGAATGGCTTTGTTGTTTGGACTTTTTCATTTATAACATAACTAAATTATGTCTCTTTTCTAACTTTATGCATATGTTGTAATTAATAATTAAAATCTATCTATGTTTTTTCTTTTGTTAAATATATTTATTATTTAGTTCATCTTGACCTATTTCCATTATATTGCAATCAAATAAGGTATGAATAAACTGTTTCATCTCTATTACATATTTTTCTTGATTATTACAAAATTCTTTGGTTTTGATTAAAAATTATATAAAAATATATTAAAATCTCCAGTAAATAATTTGTTATATTTTATTTCATTGTATAATATACCTTCTTCATAGTGACGCAAATTTTCCACTCTTTTTATCACCATTCCATTTAATGGCCTGATTCTCATTGTTGTTTGGAGACCTTCACCTGTATGTTTGGAGACTCTTGGCGTTGTTGTTCGGATTTTTCCATTTATAATTTTAAAATATTTCAATCGAAAACTCACTTATATACACATTTTGTAATCTTCCAAGAGAACTCCGTACCATTATCATTTACATATTTTTTGAGGGAAAACCAGGACTCCAGGAGATCCTAAGGCTCCTATCTCAACCGCATAACTGTTATTAAAACACAGTGTTGGCTAAGTAAGGACGCGAGAATTTGACCAATGCCGGACCTGTAATTTACATATTTACAATACGTCTTGAGATTACTAACATTTGAAACTTGGAGTAAGATTGTAGGGTTGGATGAAATTCCTGACAGAGGATAGGTTTGATGAATAAGGTCCTGGTGATATTTATCAACCTCTATGTGGAAAATAAACGGCTCGAAAGGTATCGAATGTCAACAAGGGCTCTCTCAAGTTTATATCT